ATTGCTCAGTATTTTCTCCTTAAAACGGCAATGAACCAAAGACGGTCTCAAAAACACGGTTTGTAATGGCCCGTTTCCTACCGAAACATGCAACCAATGACGGGGTGGGGATTATCCTATCATTAGGAAATTCGACATTTTAACACAGTGAGCACAAGAACAGAAATTAAGATGTTCTAATGAACTATACTACTTTCTCCATCTATGTTCAAAGCATTTCTAAGGATGCGGATTTTTCGAAGACGAACGGAAACAATACAATTTAGCATTTTCAATTCTAAAACATAAAATCTGGATATTGTGCACAGTACACATATGGTGTTCTTCTGAGATAGTATGTAGTCTGAATACCTCCATTTGTAGAAGGACATGAATGTTTATTTAAAAAGATGAGCTCATACGCAATGTGAGGGTACAAAGCTTTGTTTTCTGCTCTGAAAATGAGCGAATCTCAATCCTCAGTGGCCTTCCTTCAGGGTTTGCTTTCTCACAGCTGCTGTGTTGGTATATACTTGGCTTCCATTGCCATCGCTCCCCTCTTTTGCTCTCTCCTCACGTCAACCTGATACTTTGCAGCTTAATTGAACCCCAGCAAATGACAAGAAGTCTGAATCGCTGAGAGCTTCGGCGGCGGCCCCACTTGCAGTTTCATCCTTTTGAATAAAACATATTATTCCTATCACTGTCACTGTTCCAAACCTTGGTCTGTGACTGACCTGCCAAAAGCTAACCTGGGTGTAAAGTTCCCCTACACCATCCCCTCTGTCTATCCCCATCTCCCGCTCCTTTAATCTCCCTTCTTCAGTCTCTCTCTTTCTCACCTGGCTCCTTTCCATCAGTGATTCGGTGAAAAAGCACAGCATGTTTTTTTGAAATTTATGAGACAAGTCTAAGAGGAGGAGTACTGACAGATAAAGTCCATCTTCTAGAAACTTCGGTGCTGACATCCGTCCCCATGGGACGCTACAACTAAAACTCCAGCTGGGTCATTCACGTACACAAATATGTTCATTGCAACTGAAATTTTGACTCAAGCTAGTTAGTGCTAATATAACTAGCAAGGAGACTAATTTGCATACTGCCTGTCCGGTATGCAACATGCCATATATATATGAAGAGTTTGGTTCCAAAACGCGATAAACGCCATTTTTTTTTAAAAATGAGTTACTGCAAAAATCTGGCTTTTCAATACGACCAGATACAAAACAATGTTTAATTTTACGTAAAATGGGATATCCGCCGTGTTATTATGTAATGTTTTCTCCCTTTCTTTCCAAACCGCGACAAACGCCAGTCTCCCTTTTCTGCAAAATGCCACATATCCGCTAAACCAATCACAACGCACCATTCCACGCAATGTAAACAGTAACGGCAGCGCTTTAACTAACCCGGCTTCCTAGGTTTTCTCTATTTTGTCCTTTCGATCAACAAACAAACAAAAAAATGAATAATTTTGACAGCATTGGTGAACCTGCGGAGGGTAAGGCATCCTGCATGGGTAAACGTGACATCGAAATCGAGTCATTTACGTGAGGAAGAAGATGGACTCGGGAGGAGGAAATGCCGGCTGTTGCTTGTTCTTACACGACAGCATCAAACTTCTGTCACGCTGACACACTGACCCCAGAGGATCTTTTGGAAAACTTTCAGTTGTTTTATTCAAAATCAACGAAAACCGAGCAGGACCAAGCCAGTTTACAGCTGATCGCCGTCAAAGAAGAGTTCAGCGGCAACGTCCCAAGGTTGACAACAGCGATATGCATAACGTTAGATCATGCTTAATAAATCATAATTCATGATGATGTGCTCGTCTTAGTTAATGTTTTAATTAAGGTTTTGTTCATCCATGAAGTCATGAATGAAAAACATTGAACTGTTAAAAAAAATGTTGTTAGTTCCTGATGATATTAATATGAATTAATGCATAATTCATTTATCCATGAATTCATGATAATTCATGACATGAACCCTTAAAGTGTTACCGAATATTGTTATATTAAAGCAATGGATTTATAGTATGCACAAGAAATTCAATGTGTATAAAATTTTATTTTGATTAATTGCATTTTGAAAAAATATTAATTATTGGATTTATTGCATTTTGGGGGAAAAAACGATCTGTTTTTATAATAATTCTTTGGAAATCAAAACCTGGATTTCATTTTTTATTGTTATTATAACCTACAAATGCTATGTGAAAATTTGAAACCGAAAATAGTGGTTTTCATCTTCCCATTTTCTTGCTAAAGAAAACACAGTTTTACTCAAATTCATCAAAATGGATTTATAGCGTTTTGGAACCAAACTCTTCATATATTTTTCTAATTTTGCTGTCATCCTTGACTAATTTGCATTCATGCAACATGCCATATACATATTTCTCCAATTTTGCAGGATCTCTTATCCTCGTTCTAGTAACGATTCTAGACGAGTTTTGCACTACCTGAAATTTACTCCAGCCAGCAACTCAATCAATTCGGGAAAACACAAAAGTCTGCTGCACTCGTTCTGTTTAGGTTAAGTCTAATAGATAATCAGTCATTGGGTTCACTTACTAATATTTAGTAATATTTGAGTGAAATAAATGAATTCCAGCTGGTAAATATCCGGTGCTTAAATTAGTGACGGCGTACTTTTGTAGGCCAACCTAGAAGTTAGATTCACCCTCTTTCCCACAACAATAGCTACACTCAAAATCGAATATTTCCCTACTATATAAAGTGGTACGCCAAAGGAGAAGGTAATGTCCAAATAGATTGTAGGCCGATTCGAAAAACAAATGTTGGAATTCCCCTGCAGCTCCCAAAATACAATCACATCATGTTTATATCACTGTAACTTGCAACAGCAGGTATCTTCATGACTGAAGGATTCCTAGTCAAATATTGACTGTTTCTGCAGGTGCACGGAGTAGGCTAATCACACGCCTTTTGCTTCACCGGCTTTTATTTGTCTTACTAAACAACTCAAATGACAGCGTTAGCCTCTGTACTGCCCCACCAGCATTGGAGCATCAATACAAATGCGTGACATTACCACAGGCTGACCACTTTTTTTAATCTATATTGGATCTTTGAGATTGAATTATCATTTGCCATGATAATGTCTTTTGAATCTTTATTCAGGGGCTTTTCTTAGGAATTATTGAAATGTGTTATTAAAGTCCCCGTGAACCGGAAGTTGCAAAACGACTTTTCTCCAGTGTTGTGACGTATTTCCGAGAGAAATGGAATACTAAATGAGGCAAAAATAGTGGGCGTGGCTTTTTATCCAACTAGCACCTGATTGGATCTAGAAAAAAGGGGGTTTCCAGAGCCGAAATGGAGGATGACGCAAGTTTACACACCTGCTGCGTCCCAATTCGCTTACTTATACTACGCCCTAAAAGTATGTAGCCTACTCTTTTTGTGAGGAAAAAGTACATACTTTTGAGTGTGTAGCAAAAGAGTAGGCAAGCTCTGGGACATATCACGTCATCTTTAACGGACAGCTCTGTCGCGTGCTGCGTGCATCCTGTCACAAACTGCCCTGTCAATCATCTCGTCACAGTTAAAATCCTCCATTCTATCTAATTTTATTTCCTACCGTTTGGGAGAGCACGTTCATCTGCCAGTTGTGGGTCTCTCCTCGTGTTTGCAATTTGAATATAATGATGCATTTAAAACGTAATGGCTAAACGTGTCTTTACAAAAGTTCACAATGCTGCTGCATATACAATATAATGTGGACAACATTGAATAAATTCATATTCGTCGGGTTAGATACTGATAATGAATCACTCAAAGCTCTTTATCTAAACCTCTCTACACAACCGCGGGCACTCGCGCGTCCTCCGTATCGACTACGTGTCTGTAGTTTTTTTTAACACTTTTTACTCGTGTTTGTAGTTCTAACCGAATCCTCGTCCAACGTGCAATGGGTTGTGGGCAATATCAGCCGTTAGAGTGTCCATCGATCTACACTTCGGATAGACGTTATTCAGAGCAGCGCCATGACAGGTATGAAAGTGAGGCTGTGAGGAATAGACTTACCGTGTCTCCAATGGCATCCGCTGTAAAAAGCTGAATAAAGTGGCTAGATTACTTACAATTTTCCACAGCGTACATTGTCAGGAGTTTTTTGTCAACTGACATTTCTTGGAAAGATATTTTTCCAGTGTTTCATGAGCAGAACAATCCGAAAACACATTAAATAACAGTACAGCCCACTGAAGAGATGCAAGTCTATCCCTCACAGCCTCGCTTTCATTCTCATTAAAAATCAAAGATGGCGCTGCCGTGAATAAGGCGTATTCTGACCGGAAAAAGTAGACCATCCGCGTCTCTTTGAAACGCTCATTTCAACATACTACGATTTGGGACGTACTACGCTGTCAATCAATGCTCGCTCGGCGCTCGCAAACTCACAGCAGCTGTCAGTTGGAGGGGCGTGGTTATGGATGTTAAGGAGACACCCAAACGTCATCGGGCAAGGTCCTCCAATGCAGAGGGGAGGGGCATTTTCAAAATTTGATTAAAGATTACGAAGCCAAAATTGTTTTGTGTGTGGATTGACTTGCATGTATAAATTGTTCACCACAAAACGATCAATATAGGCAAACAAAGTAAGTGTGATCAATTTTGATTTCATGGGGACTACTATGGTCAGTGCTTTAACAAAGTCTTCTATCATGTCAGTAAAGTTACTTGAATCTTGATTCATTTAATGAATTATGCGTGTGCAATGTGAGTGATTGGATAGAACACACTGTATAATCGATTGACAGACCTAAAAGTCAAAATTTTCTAAAAATTCTGAAATAAAAGTATATGCTATGCTGTCTGCTGGTATCCGAATAGCTTCTCATCTAATGAGTCTTTTTTCCCCCTTCTGTTGTTGTTCTGCCTTTTCATTTATTAATGAGATGTGGCCATACATCATGGTGATTAATCTCTGAAGAACATTCAATCCGTTCAAGTGGAAAGACACATGTGGGTGTAAACGCTTGTTTCTCATCTCACCTCAGGAGTCAGGAGCACAGAATCCACCCTGGATCATTTCCCCCTCTCGCTTTCATGTGAGCAGTGAAGGCTTGTTCCCGCCTGTGTCCTTTCTGGCCTCTTTCATCCTTTTCTTTTGATGCTGCTCTCTTTTTTGAGCTGTTAAAGTGTTTTTTCCCCCTTCTGGGTATAAGAGGTGTCTTTGTTGTGCATTTTCTCCTGCTGTTTTTTTTCCCTGTAACTCGTTCTCTGTGAAGTAGATATACCGAGAGCACGTTATATTGTGGCATGGAAGCGTTCTCATGCATGTCGGCACTCCATTATCGTGGCAAACTTTGGATATGAACAGTTATTAATGTACAGTGGCGGCCACATACAAACTGTATTTGTAAAATTCTGTAGTGATTGCGCTGTACAAAAGCTGTAAAAAATGGCCGTGATTTTAACGGTAAAAGATTGTAAAAATGCTACAGTGCAAAACTGTTACTTGGTTACCAGAAAGTTTCCGTACTATATACGGTAAATAACTGTAATATAATTTTACAGTAAAATACAGTTAAATTTACAGTTTTTGAAACTCATTGTATAACTTACAGTGAAAAAACGTAAATTGACATTCCCACAATTCCCTGTTCCTCATAGTTTTATTGGGGGTTTTTTTCTAATCAGTTATGTACATTAGGTTTTATGTTACATTTAATGTTAATTTCATGTGTGTTACCATGATGGTGTTTAATGTTTGTGTGAATGAGACTGTGCAGCTTCTTTAAATAAGTGTTACTGAAATAAGTATGAGCTGTGATTGCTCAATGCTCATGTAACTCTCATCACTGCTGTGATGGTTGTCAGTGTATTACAATGGTACAAAAAAGATATCAATACGTCAATAAGTTGGTAAATCAACATTTTAATCAGAAAATAAAATAAGGTTTATTACTGTAAATTTTAAGTTAAGTCTGTAAAACCATTAACGTTCCTACCGTATTTTTTAACGGTAAAGTTCTGGCAACCACAGCTGCCGTTTTTTTACCATAAAATTTACAGTTTATTTTTTACTGATTAAAACAAATATTCATAAAATCTTAATTCCTGATCCAAGTCGGTCAAGATGAGTTTTATTTGAAATTTGAAAACCAAACAATAAAGAATGGAAACGACAGCATGACCAATTAATAGCTCAATTGTGTTATTGCTTATACAACACTTAAATAGAATATAATATCAGAATATCAGAAGAATTTTATTCTTTCTGAATAAAATCAGAAAGAATATAATATCAGGTAACTTAGATAAATAGCTTGACTATTTAAGACAATAAAATCATTTTTTTTTTTTAAAAGACAGCAGAATAAACGATGGCGTTCCTGAACGAATCAGTGTTTTTGAAGGAATCAGCTGTGAATGATATGACTCATTCATAAAGAAAGCCACTTGTTTTGTTCTTTTTCAGTGTTGTTGAATGAATCGATTCAATGACTCACTCAATCCTTTTGCTTCCTGAATTTTGAACAAATAGCCTATTGTGAATGATCCAATGACTCATTCATAAAGAAAGTCGTTTGTTTTGTTCCTGAATGAATCAGTGTCATTGAACAAATCAGTTGTGGATTTTTGAAGGACTCACTCATACAGACAGTGGCCTTTGACAAGATACTTATTTTGAATGAGTACTTGCTTTGCCAACCTCGAAAAGGTCCATTCTATATAGTATGAAGGTAATCCGGACGTACATTTGTCATGTCACTTTCACTGCAAATTCACAAATCCTCTCCCATGGCCTCATAGGATAGTAAAGAGTCAATCGTATGCACACTTCAGATTCTCACCCGAAATAGGAGGGCATCCGGGTACTTTTTTGCCTTATCGCTTTTTTGAGAACTGTAAATTCAACCGTACACTCTCAGAAAAAAGGTACAAAAGCTTTCACTGGGGCTGTACCTTTTCAAAAGGTAAACTTGTCCATTTTAGGTGCTAATATGTCCATTTTAGGCCCTAACATGCACATTTTAGGTGCTAATATGTACATTTTAGGTGTTAATTGTCCATTTTAGGTGTTAATTGTCCATTTTGGGTGCTAATAAGTACATTTTAGGTGTTCATTGTCCATTTTAGGTGCTAATATGTACATTTTAGGTGTTAATATGTACATTTCAGGAGCTAATATGTCCATTTAAGGTCCTAATATGTACATTTTAGGTGCTAATATGTCCATTTTAGGTCCTAATATGTACATTTTAGGTGCTGATATGTCCATTTTTGGTTCTAATATGTACATTTTAGGTGCTGATATGTCCATTTTAGGTCCTAATATGTAAATTTTAGGTGCTAATATGTCCATTTTAGGTCCTAATATGTACATTTTAGGTGCTAATATGTCCATTTTAGGTCCTAATATGTACATTTTAAGTGTTAATATGTACATTTCAGGAGCTAATATGTACATTTTAGGTGTTAATATGTACATTTAGGTGCTAATAAGTACATTTTAGGTGTTAATTGTCCATTTTAGGTGTTAATTGTCCATTTTGGGTGCTAATATGTACATTTTAGGTGTTCATTGTCCATTTTAGGTGCTAATATGTACATTTTAGGTGTTAATATGTACATTTCAGGAGCTAATATGTCCATTTAATGTCCTAATATGTACATTTTAGGTGCTAATATGTCCATTTTAGGTCCTAATATGTACATTTTAGGTGCTGATATGTCCATTTTAGGTCCTAATATGTACATTTTAGGTCCTAATATGTACATTTTAGGTGCTTATATGTCCATTTTAGGTCCTAATATGTACATTTTAGGTGCTGATATGTCCATTTTAGGTCCTAATATGTACATTTTAGGTGCTAATATGTCCATTTTAGGTCCTAATATGTACATTTTAGGTCCTAATATGTACATTTTAAGTGTTAATATGTACATTTCAGGAGCTAATATGTACATTTTAGGTGCTAAAATGTACCACTAAGGTACCAATATGCATCCTTTGGGTACAAAAGTGTACCTTTTGAAAAGGTACAGCCCCAGTGACAAATTTTGGACCTTTTTTTTTCTGAGAGTGTATTGTCACATGCTGTCTGTATGAAGCCTTGTCAGTTGAGTTCCCTGATCCATAATGCGTAGGCCTAAAGTCTTCAAGATCAATCATTCTTCTGCTGTGTCGCACTGAAATAGTCCCAAACACTGTGATGTTTATTTTACCTGCTCCAAATAACAGTATAGAACATCAAATATGTTTTGATTGGCTGTGACATATACTGTCATTTTGTCTTAAGTTTTACTCAATGTGAAGAACTGACAGGAGAGAGGGGATGGACAAATAAAGAAAGAGAAAGAATGATGGACTGTCTGAGATAAAAACCATACCTGATAAAGTGGACAGAGTGGAAGAGTTACTGATGACTTTGTTCCCAGAGAGAAAGAGAGAGAGGGTTAGCCAAGAGAGATTTATTGCTGTTCTCTACATCTCTTAATTTTACATGCTGTCTTTTCTGGATGGGAGTTTAGGTTTTACCGGGCTGTCAGCAGTGATTTATGTCGCTATTCATCACAAAGTACAGTTAAAAATATGAGTGTGTGTGGAGAAAGATAGCCAGGTAAACGTATCTCTGCATGGGGGGACGTTCTCTAAAGCATCCATTAAAGTTAATGAGACGACATATAGGCTAGTGGCTCCAAACCACAAACATAAAGCTATGTAAATAATCATTAGGATCATTACTTTTGAATGTTGTCCAAACATCCTAAAATGTTTCAGAAGAAAAGCACCATAAACGATGGATGATTGAGCTAATGTTTTGAGAACATTATTAGCCTAAAGACCAGATTACATTCGATCAATGTCACTGAAAGAACTTTTAGAGAACCTTGCCACGACGTTAGCTAAAGCTCTGAATTTGCTTTTTCCTGTTGCTTTTCAGTGCAACACAAAGCGACTTTTCGAAAGTTTATAGAAAGTGTGACACCTGCATTAACATTCTTTAATCATGTTTCACAGAAAAAAATAACTTAAAGGGATAGTTCACCCCAAAATTAAAATTCTGTCAGTAATTACTCACCCTCATGTTGTTCAACCCCGTTCATCTTCAGAACACAAATTAACATATTTCTGATTAAATCTGAGAGCTGGATCACTCCCCCGGCCCAGAAAAGTTAAAAACATCGTTAAAATAGTCCAAGTGACTACAGTGGTTCAATCTTTAAATTTATCAAGTGACGAGAATACTTTTTGCATACAAAAAACAAACAAAAATAACGACTTTATTCAACTTTCTTTCTCAGTGGGCCTCGAGATAGTGTATGTAGTGTACTGTAACTGTGCAACGGTTCTGTGTTGTACGTCACACGTAGGCTCACTATTGGCCAAAGCTGGTCATGTGTGTGATGCGTGTGACCTACAACACAGAACCATGTGAGAAATTACTGACAGAATTTTCATTTTGGGGTGAACCAACCCTTTAAGCTATACATAACAGACACGCCTCCTTTTTAAAGGGGCGTATATATACTTTTATACGAACTATTATAGTTCACTTTGAAATGAATTGATATGTTTTAGCTTACCTCAAGGGCATCCAAGATGTAGGTGTCTTTGTTTCCGCAGTAGATTAAATTGATGTTTTTAGGCCAAACCGTTCTTGTCTGTCAGTCATATAATGGAGGTCTATGGTCACCACCTCAAAGAGCATGCACAGAGAAGTCCAAATTAAACATGATTTAATGACTCGTGAATGTAAGTACACACTGATGGCCTAAGACACGAAACGAGCGGTTTGTGTGAAAAAACGAACAGTATTTACATCGTTTTTCCCTTTTGTAATCACAGCCATGACAAAATGATCTGACGGCACGGGCGCTTCGGTCTACACATGGGCTGGAAATGATCGGTTGCGCACCGACGCCACTCTTTGTTTATACAGAGATTTCGGAAGTTTTACCTTTCACTAAACATATCTAGATATACGGGAAACCGCAATGGAAGACGATTTCGGTATATCTAAATATGTTTAGTAAAAGGTAAAACTTCAGAAATCTCAGTGTAAATATTGATTGACGTCACACGCAAGCGATCACTTCCGGCGTAACATTGAACTGATTCAGTTCGGTTCAGTTGGACATTGCACAACTGATTCAGATTACACGAGGTAAAAACGATATAAATACTGTTCGTTTTCTTACACAAACCGCTCGTTTCGTGTCTTAGGCCATCAGTGTGTACTTCCATTTACGAGTCATTAAATCATGTTTAATTTGGACTTCTCTGTGCATGCTCTTTGAGGTGGTGACCATAGACCTCCATTATATAACTGACAGACACAAATGGTTTGATCTAAAAATATCAAAATTGAAACTACTGTGGAAACAAAGACATCGACATCTTGGATGCCCTTGAGGTAAGCTAAAACATATCAACAATTAATTTCAAAGTGAACTATCCCTTTAATATTCTATTTTATGATGAGGAAAACCATATCACCAGATCGTATTTGTTTCTGGCTTCCTTTGCAACAAATTATGTGTTTTGATGAACACTGATTCAAAGACCACAAACTTGCATAAGCCAAAAGTCAAACTGTCAAAATAAATGAAACACTGATCACCATAATGGTGACAGACAACAACATCTAAACCTCTGTTAATTCTCACAACGAACTTCTGCTGAGATCTTGAGAGATTCTTTGTCTATAGCAGTTGATATCAGGCTGCAAGTTTGGCTTTAAGTCAGTTGAAGTTTCATTTTCTGAGAGTGCAAGCATGATGTTGAACCAACATCACATTATAGCATTGATTCATTGATTCAAAAAACATTAATTGCACGTGCAAAAGTAATGTTGATTCAAAGTGGTTAACATTGACACATTGATTTAACATTGTTTTGTTGGTTGCTTGCTATCTGGGTAAGGTACAAGATGTAACCTTTTCACTTTTGTACCTTAGGGTACTGTCCCAGTTTTTTTTTTTTTTTTACATAGTTTTGATTCTTGTTCACAAAATTCCACTATCAGAAAAGCTTTTTATTTAAAATAGATATTTGTGCATTTGTCTTCAGTGAACCAGGTGCAGTTAGTGCGTACAAATAACCAGCGCTTGCAGCAGGTGCAACTCCATGCCTTTGTTTTTCTTGTTTTCTCTATTTTTATTCTTTGTATGTTTGCTCCTGTGTGTGTGTACGTTTAAATGTAGGTATGACTGCAGTAAAGCCGCGGCCCGTTCACCTTGTCAGAACTTATCAGCTTGTTTCTGCTTTGTTATTGCCAGAGGCATGAATTAATTCAGCTACAAATGCAGCATGCTTTGTGTGTTTTTCTTCTCTACACTTCCCTTTCTCAATCGCTCGTGCACAGAATCCACCCCGCATTTTTTCCTTCTCTCTTGATTTGTCATATCTTTCTCGTTCCTTCTCTTTATTTCTGTCTCTGTGCGGCTGTGAAGAATACGCTACCTGCATTTCACACATATAAGCTGGTTTATTGGCATGCATGAGCGGTTGCTGTGATATTAAAGCAGACTCGTGCTCTCTCAATGGTCTGTTTTTACATGAGTGGATTAAATTGTCATTGTTTGGACATCTTTCGCAGCCAATGAGATACCTGAACTGTGCAACAAGAGCTCTAGGGTTTCTTCTGATTCAGAAACACAAAGAGAGAGTGTTTAAGTACAAGCACACCTTAAAGGGATAGATCACCTAAAAATTGTCAACAGCAACAAAAAAGTTTTTCTAAGAGTAAATGAAAACAACTGAGAAATTAAGGCTATTAAACACATAATATTTTTTTTCCTTTACCGTTGCATATTGTAATTTTTGCTTAAAGTGACAAACTTCAAGTGCACTGTAAAAAAAAAAAACAATGAGTCAAATTTACTTAATTTTTTTAAGGCAAGTTTTTGCACTGATATTTTTTGGGTACATTTCACACATAGAATTAAGTAAACTATACTTAACTAAGTTGAGTGAAAGTAACATAAGAAATTAAGTCATTTTTATTTAGCTAATTAAAGGTTAAGTACTATCTATTCTATTTAATTGAATATTTATTTGTACAACAGTTCACTCAAAGAATATAACATTGAATTAGACCACACATTTTAAGTATGTGATTTATTCAGAAATATTTAAGTAATCAATACATAGTGTGTGTCATCACATTAACATTTTTGATATTGAAAGTGTGAACGCAAACCTCAATACTTGGTAGACAATACACAATGACGGTAGCATTGATTTGATTGATCGTTTTTGTGTTTGAATGCGTCATTTTAAGTAGAAAATGAACTCCAAATGTCACAACATGGCAAATTACTAACCCTAACAACAAAAGCAATGATAAAATAGTGTAAATACAGCTGGAGAACATTGAAAAATAAACCTCATTAATTATTCATGGCCCAGTGCATGATGGGAACACCAGTATCAGAAAAGTTGAGTTATTTTGTTTAATTTTATAATGTTGATATTTACGCTTTCATTTCTACACGTTTGATTTGAGTACTATAGAATTTACTTTTTAAAATTCTTGCCTGAACTAACTTTTTTCATGTAAATTACATTGTTTTTTTCTGTAGTATTTACTTCACCACAAAATAATTTTTATCTGTGTGTGAATCCGTGCATATCTGTAAATGTGCTGAAAGTGTTGAGCTATAGCCTACAATGCAACAAATAAAAAAAGATGGAATATTATGACTATGATTACTATTGATCACTTTGATTTAGATTTTCATATCACGTCCATATCAAAACGTGTTCCCCCGTGGTGAAAATCCAGCTTCTAATGTTGTGCTTTAAGACAAACCATGTGAAAATTCATGAATTAACACGATTGCTGAGCATTTTCTCTTTAAAACTGCAGTGAACCGCTGGTGTTTCTAATGTCACAAACCTTGTAACCCATCAGGTCAAGGTCTGAGGTGATGCGAGTCAGTGGGGGCGGGGCTAATTTGCATATTCATAAAACCGCAAATTCTAAATGAGGCAGGGCTGTAGATTTACTGTACATTCAAGCTATTTTAAGGCATGAATAGATTTTTTTCAAAGATTTAAATGTAATTTTGATGACCAAAGATGAGTTTTAAGGGATAAATTGATTCACTACAGGGGGACTTAAAAAGTAATTGAGCTGACGGTTGGCTCACTGTGTTTGGTGGTGGCAAAAGGTCATTTGACTTGCGTGGGATAGATTTTAACAGACTGTGGCACGTAAATCACAGCAACTCATTTCTCCTTTACATTGCCCTCCTTATGATGCAATACAACAGACAAACATTTTAAAGGCCAATTCACACGTCTTCACAAAACAACGTCTGCTCTCACGTCACCACAACACGCATGCGCCGTGGGACCACTGGAATCACATGGATTCCTTGAATGATATTTTTACTACTTTTGGGCTTGAAAGTGGTTGTTGCATAGCTGTCAATGAGGGACAGAAAGCTCTCAGGTTTCATTGTGTTTCGAAGAGGAACGAAAGTTCCATGTCATCCAAGATGTCCATGTCTTTCTTTCTTCAGTCGAAAAGAAATTAAGGTTTTTGATGAAAACATTCCAGCATTTTTCTCCATATAATGGACTTCAATGGGAACCAAACGGTTCAAGGTCCAAAAGACAGTTTCAGTGCAAACTGTTCAAAGGGCTTTAAATGATTCCAGACGATGAATAAGGGTCTTATCAAGCGAAACGATCGCTCATTTAATAAATAAAAACAAAACAAAGTTCACGTTTTATCAGCTCAAATGGTCGCTTTGCTCTGTTCTGTGTGACTCACCTGTTCGAACTCGTTTATCAAAATGAACAAATCTTTTTTCATGTCATTTGGTTAATTCAACAAACGAAATGAACGAGTTGAAAGATTCGTTCATTTGGATTCGTTCACGAACGCGCATCACAGAACAGAGCAAGGCGACCATGTGCGCTTATAACACTTAAACTTTGTTATATTTTTTTAAATTAAATGAGCGATCGTTTCACTTGATGAAACTGTCATTTGGACCTTGAACCGTTTGGTTCCCATTGAAGTCCATTTTATGGAAAAAAATCCTGGAATGTTTTCATCAAAAACCTTAATTTCTTTTCGACTGAAGAAAGAAAGACATGGAC